CTTTCCCTTTCATATTTCCTAGAGTTTTTTTTTTTATGGAGATTGTCCTTAATTATTTTTTTCTCCTCCTTTCTCCATATGAAATCTTATACTTGTGATACACAAGGTGTGGTCTTGCATTAGGCAGCTGAAACTCAAAGTGATCAGTGTTAACTGATGCACCAGGAAAAGCAGAGTACTGATACCTGTGAGGTTTCTGTACTTTTGTACTACATTTTGGCATCTTGCAAGTGTTCTCTTCACTGATTAAGCTACATTTTTAATTTAGTTACAAATTGGCCCATCTTGCATCAGATAAAATAACTTTCCTTAATCAAGAGTGATTATTAGCATTGTTCAAAGAGTACTTGTGGCACAGGTGATCAATTTGTACACCATTGAAAAGAACCTTCTGCAGTGCAGCCATTGCTGTTGAGCCACAACTTTTCCACTGTCAGCTCCAGCCTGACTTTGATCTTCGTATTCCAGGGGAATACAGCTAGATAGTGTAAACCATTTTTGTTCCTTACTCCTTAGATTCCACTCATCCCATCCCCCAGTGCTTCATCCAGCTATTTTTAGATTATTGTGTCCTTGCCTCCCTAAGATTTATTTTGGGTAAAAATCACTTACTTTCCTACGAACTCCATCTGATGAATGCTGCAGGATGAGAGCTAAGGAAGTACCTCCTGCAGAATTTTATAAATCTACACTTCTCTTCATGTATATATATCTATAATATATGAAATTGCCAGTGTGTGTTCTACTGGCACAGGGGGAGCGGTCAGCAGACCTCAATCTCTAGAATGTAGTTCTAAGGCTGTTTAACTTGGTCTTAGTAAGTTTCGTGGTCTCCCCCTTTCCTCTCTTTGCATACACAGGACTAAACGGTATTAATTTGTCTTTCTGAGGGCCTTTAACACTGGGTGGAAGGTTTTCTCAAAGTGCATCGTGTTTTTGCTTTGTATTATGATGCTACTAGCTGGGCATCTTGCAACCGTTGTGCCAAAACAACAGACAGCTGTGGTTGTATTCTTCTGTTCTTGGTTGCAGAGGTATTTTCTCTGTCATTCTCAAATCCAGTTGCACATATCACAGCATAAGAACTGTGGTTCTTTGAGATGAAAAATAACTACTCTGAAGAAGCCAAGAATAAAAGCATAAGGTATGCAAGGAGTTCAGAACTCAAGTAACATAGATCTTAAAATTGCTGATGTCTGTAAACACAGTTTTGCAGCAGTTTTTAATATGTGAAATGATGTGTGCTGAAGATCATGAATTGATCAAATTACAGCAAAGAATGTAAGATGACAGCACAAACCAGAGAGTGGCAGCAGGGCTGACTTATCTCTGCTCTGACGGCATTTTCTAACATAAATCTGTTTGGTTTATAACTAAGCCATAAAACCTTACTTCAGGCTGAAATGTAGCAGGATATGCCGTAGTTCAAAAATGGAGCTTTTATAGAAAAATACATCAGTAATTTGTAAATTAAAATTGCAATGCATTAAAAATTATTTATGTTTCTTTTGCACTCTATTTATAATGTGCTTTTTGGACTGAATTTATATTCCATATAAATCTGCATGATCAAACCTCTTCAAAACTTGCTGTCTCTGTGGCTTCATCAAACTCCTTTTGTAGTGAGTTTAATACATACAGGCATGTCTCACTCCTAAAAAATACTCTTTCATACTTTTTGTAGTTAGGAGGGGTAACTTTGCTGAAACTTCACAGGAGGTTGACAAGACTAAAATGAGGGTGTTTTTTTTTTGTTTGTTTTTTTTTTTTTTTTTAAAAAAAATTTGTTTTGCATGTGTGTAAGGATAACTAGAACACACAGCTGTTATTAACAGAAAGAGCATTTCCAATCCTTAGCTTCACTGTTTCAAGTTAGGAGATTTAGTACCAGTCTATTCTATGTTTCTTCTTCACATTCTTAATGCTTCATCTGATCTACTTGGTATTGACCAGTCTTGCAGACGGGGAACAAGCAATGTGGAGCACAACAGAGTCTGGCAAGTCCCCACGTTTCCACTGAATACTGAAAGAAGAAGAGTGTAACCTATTTTAAATAGATCTGGTTTTAACAATATGTCCTGGTTTGAGCTAGAACAGAAGTAATTCTGTTCAGGGATTTAACCCTTGACAAATAACATAACTAAACATTTAGCATACACATTCTGCAGCCCTCAAGTAACGGAAAAAATAAGAGCTCTGTTTTACAATGGCAAGATCTTTTTATTATTGTATCATTAATAAAATAACAAAAGGATGGTAGCATCAGAGGACCTACTGTGATCTGTACCATCTCTTGCAGTCACATTAGAAATTATCTGTAAATCAATTTGGTAGAGTTCATCAGTTTGAGCAATATATGCTGGATACACGCCCCAGTACACATGTTGAAAGGGATGTTCAAATTACCATTAGTTCAAAATCCATTGGGGTTTTTTTGTAGAATGTTTTGTAGAATGATTTGTGAAATCAAGTGGCAGGAATAAAACACAGTCGGTGAAAGAGAGAGAGTTCAACACCAGCTGACAAGAGACAGGTTACAAGCAACTGGCAATTGCAGAGCTTTGCGTTCAGCTTGTATGCCAAGTGGTGTGTACCAAGAACACCACCAAAAGAAAGCTTTTAAGGCAAAACAGGTTATAGTTTCTCACTCTTTGATAGTGGGGAGGGCTGCAGCAAGGAGAGTGGCTCTTGGAGGCCTGCTCTCACGTCCAGGCAGTGTTACAGGGCTAACACTGTTTTGCCCCTGGCAGGGCCGTTCACTTTATCCCCAGAGAATTGGGGCATCTGTAGGGCAGCTGCAGCTAATGCTATCCAGTTTTGGAAAGAGGAAGACCGGTGGGTTTTAGGTGGGTTTAAGTGATAGTGAGTTTGATCCCAGTTCTGTGTATTGCCTTTGAGGTTCAGTTTCTTGGATTTAGACGTCTTAAGGGAGTATCTTTGTTCTAGCTTTAGTATTTGTCTAATGAGAGACACCTTTTGTCACCTGAGGTGTAATGTTTCATGCAATAGTTACTCCTACTGATACTTCGAAGAGATTAGAGATGTAACATTTGTGAGGCAAAAGGAAAAATCACTGTAACTGAAGTCTTCTTTATTCACAAGCCCGATGTAACCCAGTAGTGGACACTGTAGGTGCCCTACACAGCACTGGCATTGTCCGTCCCATTGGTTCGCAGGAACTCGCCACGCGCTTCACACAAAAACCCTGACTTTGCTCTTTTCAAGGGGGTGATTTTAAGCTCATGGAACTCTTCACATCCCAACTTCAGTGTGATCTAGGGTCTCTGAGATCAGTGATGATCTTGTGGAAGGCAGTGGAAGGCAGAGATTTTTGCAGATGCAGCGCTGTAATCTTTTTGGCTAGTATGGCTGGTATTGTAGTGCCTGGTAGTTTAACTCCTTGATTTCAGGAATTTGGTCATGTTGTTTCGAGCAGTTGTTGCCTGGTTTGTAGTCTGTTGCCTCAGGAGGGTTGCTCCTTAAGCCTCTTGCAGGAATCCAAGAAGCAAATCAGAACACAACCCCTCCAGCCTTAGCCAGGTCTCCTCACTGAAAAGCATGCTGCTAGATACAGTGATTTTTCTGGATGAACTTTGCCCTCCTTCCACCCCTAATTAAAAAACAGCAGCTTGACAGCACAGCAGCAAATGCACATCAATATCAAACAGAATTTTCACTACTGTTTTCATATTAACATGAGATCTCAGAATGTAAAGTTAGCTAGATCTGCACATGGGACCATTCTTGCTGTTAAAGGCTTTAGGCTAAAATGGAGCCCCAAATTTTTAAAAGAAATGCAACATTTCCAGATCAAATATTAATTACATGCTGTAGAGAATCATATTTTTCAAACAAATTTTATAAATAAAAAGCTAGGCCTTTCGAACCATCAGCAGTATTAATTTTGGATTTGAAAGATTATGAAAGATAACCACATAACTATGAATTAGAAAAATACTGGCCTAGGTTGCATAAAAACCTCCATTTAAATAAATACTGTAAGTTTTCACTATGAAAATTCAGTGGCATTGTAGTTTAAAAAAACCATAATGAATTAACCATCCGTTAACGATACTCAAGTTGTTTTTCACAAACCACATACACATGGAGGAAGTCAGATGGCCAAGAAAGGCTAAGTACAGGATTAACACACAGTTCAACAGAAAGTACTCTTGATAACGCTCTGCTCCTTCATCGTAACTTCCCGACTGCCGCTGCAGCTCCCAGCTGCAGATCCTGTCATCCTTCTCCTCTCGGTTGCCTTGCTGCCCCAGAAGGTCCCACAGCCCAGAGGCTGGCACAGTAGGTGACTGCGATTGCCGTCTTGTGCATTCAACCCTCAGACCAGGGGTTTAATCTCCGGACGATTTACGGGGAGGGGTTCTGGTTTCCAGTCTGGTTGGAAGAAGTGGATGTTGAATGTCCGTGCCCAGTTCTCAAAGACTCGTTTCTCTGTGATGAAGCGATGGTGGCTGCCCTTCCGTCCCCGCTCGTGGGAGATGTACATTGTGCACTCGTCAGGTCCCAGAGGTTCGTAATAATGATAAGGTACTGAAAGATGATTAGGATCCCTGTGGAAGAAAGAAAATAGATGGAAGCCCAAGATGTTCTTTTTTACTGATTGAAAAGATGCTATCTTTAATAAGCTGATGGGCTCAAATCCACTTTTTCTCCCAGTTCAACCGAATTCGTAGTTAGCTGTATTTTTCTGGCGTATTTAATATAACAGAATGAGGCAAAGGTGTTTTCTTTGCTCTTTCTATGACTCTCCTTTAATCCCCTCCTCCCAGTCAAACAAAAGACAGCAGTAGCTCAAAAACAAGGGAGAGTGCTGCAGGGCTGTGTTACTATGAAATTTGAAGCAAGCTGCTTAAAAGAGATTTATATCTAGACTGTGATTTGTAAAAAGGCTTGCAGAGGTATTTACTGAACTGGGGGAAGAAAGAGAAGGGGAAGATAGAAGGGAGGTGGTTATCTGTGTCACATCGGCTCAATTGAACATTCCCAGCGTGGTGCACGGGGTTCTGAGTGCACAACTTCAATGAGTGTATCTACATGCCAGGTCAGGGATACAGTCTGCCATTGCTGGGTTTAAAATCAAACATCTGATGCACAAATGCATTCTTTTTGATTTTACGATGGCAACTTCTATGTTTCTAAGCTAAAAATGAAAACTGTTCACGCATAGTATCCTTCTGACCTTGTGAGCCCACTGGCGTTGACCAGCAGGAGATGAGTACTCATGTGGTGACACACAGGATATGCCAGAGAACAATTAGATATTTCAGATGAAGTTCTTTTTAGCAGTTCTAACCTCAAGGGTTTGATGGTACATTCTGCAAAAGGCTCATTTGTATTATAATAAGCCAGACTGAGTCATACTGCTTTTGTTTTATTCTCTACATTAAACTGTACCCATTATGTTTTCCCTTTGGGCATTTGGGGCTGACAGGAACTCACACAGCCCTCTCTATCCTAATTTCAAACAGAGATACCTGTCCCAGACAACTGACTAATATCCCCTTACCCAATTGTACCAATCTCCACAGTTGTTACCAACAAACTGTTTTGTAGTGGCGGAAAAGTTAATCCAAATATCGTCATTGAGTGAAGCCTTGAAATTGTTCTACGTTAATGCCTGGGCTGAACAGGACCTTGGCACAGAACAAGAAATCTCATACAAATTCAGAGCTGTCAGCTCTAATACAGAGGTGATTATTTTAATTTTGAAGAATTAATATTTAAGATCACTTTCAATTGAATGCATCCACAATCTGTCAGTTTTCTGTCCTGGTCATTATTTTTACTGTGTAATTCTGTCTCCTATGCAATTCTCTAATTCTTCTTATTTTGCCATTATCCTTATTGTTTATGCAGTGGTAATGTATGATATTGCTGCTGCTTTCCATTTATACCTTAGGTTGATTAAATTAAAACATTAATCTAGCTTCCTGGTTACATAGCACGGTGATCAATCTCACCAGAGCAGAATAACAATAAAATTACATTTCTAGAATAAGATGGATTCTAAATTTTCTGTATATATCCTCATCAGGAAACATAAGAGTGAAAAGAAATCTTTCAATACCCTCACCTACAGAAAGCATATTTGTAAAATAAAAAATACCCTTCAGATAGAAATTTAATACTTTTTGTTTAGCTACAACTAGTGGATCTCAATCTTCAATTATTTTTTCACACACTTTTTTGATACATTGGACCTCTTATTATAATCTCTTAAATGAATCATTTGTATGTTTACTGTAAATCTAACAGGATATGTTTTAATGTGATTTATTTTTTCTTAAGAACTACTAAACAAATAGGCCTCTGCCTCTCATTTAGACCTCTCTTCCTTTCTGCACTGAAGCTGGATTTTACTCTTGTGTTCTTGCAGGTAAACCTATATTGCTCAGTGTAAATTTACTGCTTCAAAGTTAGCATTAGTAAAGTTGAAATTGTATTTCCAACAGAGTTTGAACAAATGCAGTCACAGTGGAAACAAGTTAACTGCTGAGGTCGCAGTACTGTGAAGTGAGTCTCCAGAGCTGCTGGCCCAAATATCTCTGGGCAGATTTGGTTGGGATCCTCCCTCTGCTTCCCTGTCCCACCACGTTTTTTCTGAAGGCTTGCATTGGGTTTGCAGAACATGAACCAGAAGAGCAAAAAGCAGTAAAAGAATCATTGTGTATCTCTTCCCTGTTCCTTTGCTGTTTGCTGAAATTAGCCATGGATGATGATAATAACTGGAATCAGATTTCTCACCGAGGATCTATAAGGAATACTGGTCACATTTTGTTTCTCCACACAAACCCCAAAGTGCACAAGTACTGGTGGTATGTGGATCAGACAGAGGGAAGGAGAGAGGCTTGATATGGCCTTCCTTCTCCCTCGCTCTGAAAACGTAATGTTTACCTAGGGTTACACTGTTCCGTTGCCTCTTTGAAGCAACATTTTGAAGTCTGTACCTCCTAGTAAGTGCTTTTTCTCTCATCAGCATTCTATCAGTGGATACTTTAGCAATGGGTTTCTTTTGAAGACAGGGATTCCACATTACATCAAAGACTCTGAAGCTAACACCAGAGTATCCCAAGTGTGTGCTTTTAGGTCCAGGCTGCAATAGGTCACTGTATTTTGTGCAACGTCCCATGTCCACCCTGTCGGGTTCAGGCATCCCAATGGGTGCTGTCGAGGCTTGTATGCAGGTCCACTGGCTGAAATGGAGGTGAATTCAATGCCAAAATGAGAACGCCTATGGCTTCAACCTCTACGAGACTACTCTGCAGCTGATTGATTGAGACTTTGAGGCTAAATTACAAATGCTACATTTTGGATTTAGGAACTGTGAAAGACAGTTACAGACCTAGGACATTTTGTATGAAGTCCTTCTCCTTCCGTGGGAGTTCTGGATTCTCCTAGATTGCATGCTAGTAGGGTATGGATTTGAACTCTGGCTTGAGTAACCACCATAACCCTAATTAACTGTGCTGTGTTATCTTCTAACTCTGCAATTAGCTTGTGTCACCAGCAAATGAAATGCATGAGTAATTTCTATACGGAAATTGCTTGTCACCTCATTTATTAACATTAAAACAGATGCTGTTTTATCACTGACTGATACTGGACATTAATCAGTATTTTGTCAGACTTTGCATGCATATTAATATCGCAGCTGGGAGGAATGTAGGGAAGTTCCTCTGTAAAATATACTGTGCTTCCTGCCTAATAGCCTCCCAGCACCACAACCCTGCAAGTGCTTGTACCCGATGTCAGTCATCTACTGTTTGCCACTTCAGTGCACATTTTCCCACAGATGGTATCCACCCACAGGGAAAGCTGAAAATACAGCAAACAGTGTCTCAAAAGAAACAAACCAGAAGAACAAGGCCATCCCCTATCACATCTGGTCAACCTCTTCCTTTACAAATGAAGAACCAGTATAAATCAACCTGCTAAAACTATATGTAGTCACACACTTCATAAACTAATTCATATTTTGAAAGGTGAATAAAGTATCACTAATATGTTGAGTAATGGGCATGGTGCTATACCAGGACCATGAAGATTTCTGGATAACTTCTGGCCTTCTATTCCCAGGATTCCATTTCCTTGATGTCCACACTAAGTCTTTTTTCCAAACCATTAATTAATAAAACCCAGTTATTAAGGTAAAGAGGTGAGATCCAGGCATATGGACTGTGACTTTCTGCCATACAGTCTGCAATCCTGTGAGCACCCCTTCTTCCATCAAGCCCCTCATAAGCCCCAGGAAATATAACTAGCAACAACTGCTTCTTTGTACTTGATTTAAAGCAATAGAAAGTGGAGAGAGGGAGGTAGGAAAACACTAGAATTAAAAGCTGTACCCAAAGGAATAAATTAAAGGATTTCAAATGCCAATTTTCAGGCAAATTATCACAGATGGGAAATGGCCTGGCAGTCAAGTGAGGATTCATATAGGAAAATGATCTGGCTCCATAATTGGAATAAAATTTATTCATATTAGTAAAAATAAGGCTCAGAATTAAGCTTTAAGTTTCTGCGAGTTCCAGAAGGCCCATAAAAAGGAGAGAGGTTAAAGAGAGCTCTTCTCACTAAGACCTTGATTTTTCCTTGCGTGCGTGAGTGCCCGGTGATAGCGGCAAGACACCCACCTCTTACTGCTGCCAATAACCCAATGGACAAAGACTGGATTTACTACAAACTGCACTAAGGCTGGTGTGTGTCCTTCCCTGTGATGCTTCTGAGCAGCCACAAAGGAAAGCAGCAGCACTGTGGTGCCTCTAGGAATTGTGGTGCTGTCTGTGGGCCACAATCTGGCTGCTGATGTGGGGAGGCAAGAGGAAAACCCTTCACGTCTCCATTCAAGAGCGAGTCCTGTGCATGCAGGAGGCTGCCGAAGGGACCTCAGAGGGGGACACGCTTCCCATCTGGGGTGCTAATTTGCTCCAGCAATGGCTAGGCACTGGGAAAAAATACAGCAAGATGGCTTGTCTTTCTTGTGACAAAGGAGTGAGAGGCGCACACATCTCCAAAATCTTTGCAATGTGCATGGAAGCAAAAGCTTTCATCTTATTCTGGCATGTGCGAGTCAGATGTATTTAACAGCATGAAAGCGGTATCAAAGCCTTTAACCCTTTCTACACCTTAAATCAGCAAAAAGATTTGGCATTACATACAGCTTTGCTGTAAAGTATGAGACATTTATAATAATCAGGTCACCAATTCCGTTCCAGCTATAAAAACCACTGTCCAGTGAAAGTAAATAGAAATGAATGTGAAATGTTACAATTAATCGTGACAAATCTTTTAGTCTGTACTCCAGACTCCTTCACTAGACTATTTTTTTTCTGCACAGGTGGGAAGCAATTTGGCTAATGATCTTCAGCTAATAATTTGTAGCAGAATCAACAGTATGATATTCATGATACCTTTGAGATGTCCTTCATGTCAGAGATGTGATACTAATTTAGTTCCATGACAGTGATCGCCCACACTCATTACATACTCCACAAATTAATACTTAAAAAATAATGTGCATCTGCTGAAGTTGTAAATTTGATATTAACTCTGCATAGAAATTAATATTAGGGTTTTTTTTAAACTTAATGAATCTTTAGTTGCACAGCAGTTAAACTATCTACACTGTCTTGTACACATGAGAGAGGTAGGGTGGGGCTTTGGTTTTTGTTTTGTGTTCTTTTAATGGTAGATTTGTATTTTGTCTGACTGAAAACAAGGAAATATGCCTTAAAATTACAGAACCAAGTTTCCTTCTCCTTCTCCCTTTTTTTGTCTCTTTCTCTCTTTTATTTTTCTTTCCTCCTTTCTGTCTGTCTGTCTTTGTCTGTCTTTCTTTCTGCCTTTCTTTCGTTCTTTCTTTCTTTCTTTCTGTCTTTCTCTCTTTCTTTTCTCTCTGTCTTTCTCCTGTCCCGTCTTCTCCTTTTCCCTTTCCTTTTTATCATTCTGTTTTATTGTCTTTGTTCTTTGAAAGGAAACACTGCTTAACTTCTTAATGAGTGAGTGAAGAACAAATTAGGAAGGTTAACTGTATTTATGGCAAGAGGTTCCTTTCATAGGTCTTCATGGATGGCTTTATCTAGGCATGGCAACTACATTTTTCCCCTTCATCATCTCGGGAATAAACCTGAAGTGAAGACACTTTATATTCTTTTGATTAAGAAATGACCTTTGCCCTTTTTACGACCAGGTGAGTGTAGCTTTACGATAAGCTTTATTATGCAGGCTGTAAGTATTACTGCATCCATCAATGGCAGGATTGATTAGAGCCTTTCTTGTGTTTGATTTCAGTGTGTCAATTCTATGAAAGTGTTTCATATGGTGTCAGTGACAATTTTAGCCTGTTAAAAAGTTTGGATTTTTTTTTTCCTGAAAATTAAGTTTATGTATCTAAAATAATCTGACTTTTCCTGAGAAGTCAGGATTGAGCATTACTTTGCAGTAAATTACTGTCTTCTGAATTGTTAGATCATCTGTTTATTTAGGAATTACTTCTGTGTGCCACTGGAATACAGCAGAATACAGCCACTCCTGGAGTTAAGACACACCAGCTATTTAAAAACTGAGAAGTGTGTCTTGGCCAACTGAAATGACACGTGAACTGAAATGCTGTGCTGTGGAAGGTATTTATGTTGTCTGGAATGTCTGATCTAGTTTGTTATTCTCCTTGGAGAATTCATGATGAAATCTGGCAGTATATCATAGCATTTATCATCAGTGTTTTTTATAATTTGTAGAAATTCTCACAAAGTAGAATTTAGTGTTGACATTTGATACTGTAATTTCTCCAGGGATATCTACTGTGTGCCCAGGACAAATGCAGATTCCTGAATGATCCTTTTCAGTGCTCAGAAGAAAGTCAAAGCTGCCCTATTCTTTGATAGATGAGCTAACCTGTCACCCCTGCCTCTGAAAGGCATCTTGATTTAGTCAATGAACCAGACTTCAGTGAGATCACATAAATTTGCAAGAGAAAATTCAACTTCTTATGAAAGGGATTCATGAGCAGGTGATGTAACATGACACTGATGCCATCGTTCCAGGCTGCCAGCAGCAGCTCTGTGCATTGCTGGGTCACCCAGCAGTGCAAGTGGGATCAGGACAAGGTGTGGGCACCTGACCACGTTTTTGTGAGAGGCCAGAGTGCTAGGCCTGGTAATGGGTAGACAGGTGATACGTAAGTCACCATAAAGGTTGTTGATGTAAAACAAATTTGTATGAATTTGTTCTTGATCAGTACTTTGCATCACGTGCCAAACGTGATTTTAGTCTAGTACTAGA